CTTGCTGTCCACTCTGCAGGAGGACAGAGAGCGATTGCAGGCCTCACATGCTGTCCAGCTGGAGAAGCTCCGCTTACAGCTGGATGCACAGATACAAAAGACTGAGCTGGCACACTCACGCAAGGTAAGTCAGGACAGACACACGAATGCTAACTCTGAGGTGGGGTTTACATAATATTTGCTAAGCTGTGCCAAGGAAGGGTAAAGGTTAGCCTTTTCTAAAAGGAAGTCATCTTATCTCTTTGTGTAGGAGTCAGAGCTGCAGGATTTGGGGGATCAGCTGGAGCTGAGAGCCAAAGAGCTGAAGAGCCAGGAGGCCATGCTGCAGACCAAGGTCCGTTTTAAACAATATGTGCTCTGTTAAGAGGTATCTGAACCACATGGACTAATCAATTTCTGTCTCCTATCAGGCAGCAGATCTGAAGAGGAGGAGGAAGCTGCTTGGACAAGAGGAGCAGGAAGTGGACCGACAGATAGAGGTGTGAAGCCATGCTCTCTCCTAATGAACAGATTTTATTTACTTGCTTTGCGATCTGCCAACTTTCCTTTTTTCCTCCGTCAGGCCTTACCTCGGCTGATCCAGGAAAGAGACCGGCTGAGAGAGGAACTCGAGAGGATGAGAGAAGAGACAGCCCAAGCCAGAGAACTCATCAACAGAGCCAGGGAGGAGAGGAGTGAGGCCAAGGAGAAGGAGGAGAGGCTCAGGGAGGAGTTGGACCGAGCCAGGGAAGAGAGCAGGAGAGCCAGGGAGGACAAGGAGCACCTGGAGACCAAGGTGGCCTTGCTGCAGGAGAGATGTGACCGCCTCAGCCACAGAGTCAGGTAGAGGCTTCCTACACTAATAGCTTTCAAAATAAAAGCTCTGATTGGTACTCATAGATTTGCCTCAGTATTAAATGACAGAATGACTGTCGCCTTGCATATGTAGAATTGTCTTGTTTTGTATTTGTTTAGCTTTTTTAATGGCTTTAAATATGATTCCATGTGAAAAGTCTGCTGTCGTTTTCTCAGTGAGCTGGAACGAGATGAAGGGGCGAGCATGTCCGCGGAACAAGAGCAGGACAGAAAGAAGGCGGCAGAGAAGACGCCGCCGCCCTCCAGTGACAGAAGAGACACATCACTACATGTAGATGACCTGGAGGAGCCGCCTCTTTCCCCTGTACCTGACAGCAACAGCAGCATGGATGAGTAAGGGGAGCACACACACAGTACCAATCACAGAATAAACAGTTATAAATTTTCAGGATTAGGGGTTTGTTTATGGTTTGGTACTTTCCAGCATTTTGTTCTTATCATTTTGTCAATCTAAAAAAATAGCCGAATCCTAAAAATCGAAAAACCTTTGAGGTAGACTACTCCTAATAAGATGACAGATGCTGTGAAAGCAGCGCTCCTCCCGGATCTGACATTACAGATTTGGGTTTTTTTCATTGTTACCACTCTTATGCACTTGTTGTTTATGTCCTCAGTACTAAATCAGCTAAAACTGACTACCGTAACAACCCCCCTGCTACTTAACTAACAAGACCAATACCAGAAGTTTAAGTGACTTGATGTTGTACTGATTAAAACTCTTCCTTTCATTGTTTTGAAGCGTGCATGTTTCTAGTTCTAATGTTTGTATGATAGAAATATCAAAACATTCGAGTTTTTGGTGCGTGTCTACCTTCAACACTTCCCATTCCCACACCTCTACGTGTCCAGATTCCGGCGGTACATCTCCTCACATGGCGCTTCCATCCAGAAGACCAAACTCTTCCTGGAGAGAGAGAGCAGCCGGCTGATGAAGAGGCAGGCGGCCCTGCAGGCCCACCCTGCTCAGGGAGGAGCGACCGAAGAGACGATGATAAACCTTGAGCAGGTAAGGGGGAGCCTCACGTGTTAAACCTCAATTGGATTTTTTTTTTTAAACAAGATGGGAATTTCCCCTCCCTTTGTCAGGAGGCCAACAGTGTGGCGGAGCTGGAGCGGACAGTTCAGAGAGGAAACAGTCTCCTGCGGAGGAAAGAGGAGCAGCTTCTGCAGCTAGAGAACTCTATAGCCAAAGAGGTCAGGAGGTCATCAGCATGTATTTGTGCTCTTCTGTGAGCTTGTTTAAAGTCTCACTTGGAATGAGCTTGTGTAATCAGTGTAGAAGGTTATATTGACCAAGTAAAATTGATGAAAAGCTATAAAAATAAGCAGAACATTTAGCAGCATGGTACATTTCTGCCACTCAACACTTTATATGCAAGGATGAAACGTGTCTCAGTGGATTGGAAATATAACCTGGATTAGATTTGAGGTGTAGCAGAAGGGAATTCACACTTTTAATGGAATGTCGTGATGACTGTAACGCCCTGGTGCTTTTTCCACGTAGCCGCTGTTTGAGGATTTGTCTCGGCTCGCCGGAGGAAGGAAGGTAACCTTTGATGTGAGTGAGTCAGACCTCAGCAGCACCGTGGAACCGCCATATGGGACAGGTAATGCATGCTCGCCAGACAATGAACAGGATTTTCACATTTCAGTCTAAATCCAACATGTGGGCTCTGCCAGTTCACCGCTTGGGGTTCAGCATTCGCCTTTAACACTGAGTGCTCAGACTGAGTGTCAGCGCTCCTGGAATATGTGTCAGTGTTACACAGCCTCAATAAAGTCAAAGTTATCAACAACGCACCCTGTAAAGGTGTAAAAAGACCGATTTTGTCAATGCGCTTTATTTTTCTTGCTTCTGGTTTGGGCATCTGACTGGGATTCCTCCTGGACTCCTACAGCTGTACTTTAGCTGCTGCCCCCACAAACAAGCCCTTGCTAAGCAAAAGAAGATGGATGGAAGTAACATGTTCCCCTGTAGCTATGGGCTGAGAGTAAAGCCCCTTTCAAAGTATACTGAATTAGCAGATCTAAGGTAACCTATACCATACTTTGATTTATGATTGGGGACTATAAGTGGCCCTTTGATTTGTGTGTCAGAGCCAATGTTTCTGTATATAAACTTCACAAATCAGCTGTTAATAGACAATCATTTTGGCTCTAGTGCGTCCCCAGAGAGCCGCTCCTACCAGTTTGAAGAACTCACCTGTTGTATTTTCTCTTACCTCTGCAAATCTACACTCTCCTCCTCCCTCTCTCTTCAGGTGATATTCCCACCGTTCCAGCCAAAGTCCAGGAATTAGCAGAGTCACTGCAGCAGATCTCAGGCCAGCTCAACACCGTCCTGGGTGCCTTGGGTTCGCTGACCCAGCAGCAGAGCACCACACCTTACGCAGCTTTCCCTCCACCTCATCCTCACTCCACTCTAGCTCCTACCTCCTCCTCATCAGCTCCTGTCATTGCTCAGATGTACAACCTGGGAACCAGCTCCTTAGCCTCGCCTCCTCCTCTGGAGAGGCCCTCAGAGCCACCGTGGAGCTGGGCGACTCAGAGCGGCCCTGCAGCCTCCCCACTCTTCAGCACGCCCATCAGCAGTGAGCTGAGGGCATCCAGGGACACCCTCAACAGCCGCTGGAGCCAGATATTCCCTGGTATGTTGTTGGATTAGTGGTGCACCAACAACAGCACTCGTTGGGGGAAAAACAAAACAAAGTTGTACAAATTGTGTCATTGTTCTCTTGTCCAGGAGCAGCTGTTGCCCCGCTCGGTTCCAGCACAACAAGACCCTCCATGGCTTACTCATCATACACTCCTCTGAAGTACTGCAACCTACAATACACCTTTAATCAAGCCTGTGTAGCAGATTCCACACAAATGCTGTTTTAAGTGTACTTACGGTAACTCCTGTGTGTGTCTCAGTGAACACAGCCGGGCGCTTCACTCCACACCGAGATCAGCTGAGATGGACGGCCAAAGGCTGCAGGGGCTGATAGACGGCAACAAGAGGTGGCTGGAAATGCGCAAGAAAGACACCAGCATGTATCCTTCCATCACTCTAACACACAGTCCATCCTCTAGTTCTCCTTTATTTCATATAACTTCCTTTTTAAAATTTTTACTTTGCAAATATCTCTAGTCTAAGTTCACCTTGGGTTGTACCTGCCATCTTTAACTCCACCGTTCAGACCGCTGTTCACCCGCTATCAGGCTCCCTCCTCAAAGAGCGGGCTGGTCCAGCTGGGCCTGGATGACAACAATCAGATCAGAGTCTATCATTACTGACAACATGATGCACGGCCTCCCTCTACCGAGACCGTTACTGAGGACTTTGTATTACTGACTGTGACACGTCTGCATCGTGATGTTTACATTCCTCCTTCTTTTTTTAAAATTAAATATGTCGGTTCAGAAAATTTTCAGGGATCGTTCAGCCTCCTCTGCTCTTCCCAGAGGAAGAGCTCACTCTAGAGGACATGGCTGTTCATTCAGGGAGGTTACATATCTGAGAGGGCTGAGGACTTTTATCCTCCAACACTAGAAACTACTTTTATTATTTTTTCAGGCAAACAAATTCAGGGTTAGAGGTCCATGCCAGAACTTATCCACTCTGTGTTTTAAAGCTGTAGTTCACTTGTGTCGGGTTTTCCTAATAAGACAATCACAGAGAAGTGTCCTGTGCGATTTCTCTATTGCTGAAACCTTTCCTTCCACAACACGGCCTGATGGAGGTTAACCGTTTATGTAATGCACTTTTTAACAGAGACTGAATTTCCTGTTGTTTTTGTAAAGACAGTGAAGCCAATCCACTTTGAAAAATGTTTTTTAATGTCCAGTCTCCTGGTGTTTGCATATCAGTAATAGTGAGCTGTCGACTAGTTGTGCCTGTTACATATTTGTGTAAATATTGTATTTTTCTATGAAGTATTTTAATAAAACATTTTTAATGTGCGAATGATTTCCAGTGGAAAAACTTGTGGTTAAATTGTGAGCTGCTCTTTTTCCAATGCTCTAAATTGGGCTCAGTAATTAAGCCAGGTTACTTCTGAATGGCTGCCCCTCTCAAACAGAAGATCCAAACAGCAGGTGGGTGGAGCTGTTGTGCCCCAGATGATCTTATCAAAGCCAGGTATTGGAAAAATAGACCACACCTCAGAAAAGACCTTTATTGAGTATCCTTTCACTGCAATGCCTGACAATAAAATTCATTTTTTGTAGAGTGCAAAAATACCTTTAAGAGTCACACTTAAGGGCAGTTCCAAGTAAATACAATCATGTCTTCATGGATATTCCCTCAAGGAGGAGGACGGCTAGCTTGCAGATCTGACCAATCAGAACACAGTATTGTGACTACTATGATTAGAACATTGAAGGCCACAGACTGGACAGGATTCATCTTCCCACAATTATTTTTGAAAACACGCACGCACGCACACACCTGTACAAACACACACAGCATATAAACAGGCTACAAACAGTAATTAAAATACATTGCTGACTTCCAGGCCAAATGTAATGCAGACAATATAAAATAAGTTAAAATGGACGAGTTTCGTGTCAAGCGAGAATGCACACCGTTAATCGTCAGCAGTAAACGGTGCTCACAACAGTTACATCGATGATGGCAGCGAGAGGACGAAACACTTCAGCATCGCTCGACGACGTTCCAGCTTCTATTGGCACATAAGTGTCCACGCAGGTAGAGGGAGGGGCCTGTTGCTCCTCCCCGACTCTCCACGAGGCAGAGAGGTGCTCATCGACAGCCCAGAAACAGGCTACTGGCTGTGCTTTTTGAAAAAGATGGAGGGGATGCAAACAGACAGGGTGATAAGGCAGAGAGAAAGAGCAGAGCTCTTCGCAGATCTAGCAAATCTAGAAGACGTAGATTTTGTCTCTCTGGACGGTGTCGAGGTCGTCGTCCATGGTCAGGAGGACCTGAGGGGGAGCAGAGGTAATGTTGGATATTAAGGTTTTAACGCCTCATTCTAGACCAACTGCATATCCTGCATGTTTAAACAAACTTAAACATGACTCATAATACCAAGAAGGATCCAAACATGGCGATGGAGGACAGGAAATGCCAAATGTCGTGGTCGTCAAAGAATGATAGCAGGATGCAGTCCCTGTTGTGCTCACGAGACTCAGCTGGAGTTTTCTGTGCCAGAGGAGAGAAACAAGTAATCCAAGTGTCTTTTCACATGAGCCCAAATCTCATAGGTTTGTGTGTGTTTGTGTGTGGCTAACCTGCCAGGTGCTGAGACCCTGGAAGAAGAAATACAGCGCAAAGCCCCACACAACCGCCGTGAAGAGAATACACACCAGCGCCAGACACTTGATTCTCTCACCGCTCCGCAGCTGAGCACAAACAGAAAACTATGAGCTCCAAAGGTCCCAAACATGTCTGCTACTTTCTCCTGGTGCTTCTCACATGCGCAGAGTTACTAAACACACAAACCTTCATGATGATATAAAAGGCAAAGTAGAGCAACAGGTTACAGATGGCGATGGCCAACAGGTACGAGGCAAAGTCGTTGGGTCTCTGTATGAGGCCGTAGGCAGCCCTGCAGAGAGATAGCGAGATACACATCACCTGCCTCCTCCGCACTCTGCTGATTTAAATGAGCTGGAAACACCGTTTGTTTTACTCACAGAGACCAGTTGACTATGTTCCCCATCACAAGCAGAACCATGCGGTCCTGAAAGACATACACCGGCGGAAAAATGATTAAAAAGCAGGTCATCAGGACTCACCGATTTTATTGCTCTCTGCAACTACCGGTCGTTAAGATAAGATAATAATTGAGTTACCAGGTAAAAGCAGAAGGACCTGCTACCTTATGCAATACACTGATACTGGATTTTCTGGCCGTTACTCACAATGTACATCGGCCCGCTGCACTGCCTGATGCAGTCTGTGTAGATGACGTAAACTATCCTACGCATGATCCCAGCGTCTGATACGTGAACACACAGAGAGGAAGGAGAGAGAACAACAAGGATTATAAGCTGCTTTATTTTATTAGAATATCCCGATAAGTGGATTTAAATGTTAGTTACTCTGATTTGCTAGCTTATGTGAGACACACGCTCACACGACAGCCTTAATATAATCCTGGACTACTTTAGTTGCAGTCAGTTATTAGTCTAAAGTGACTCATTTTAAGCCAGTAAAGCCCACTGGACTGAGTTTGCTTTCTTTCTGTGATCTTACTGAGCCTCCATCGACCCATATAGTAGAGCTGTGTGCTGAGCAGCAGCGTGGCCAGAATGTGGATCACAGAGAAAACAATCCAGAAGGCTGTGTTGTCTCTCCCAAATACCTGAGAAAAATAAAAAAAAGCACAGCACAATGATTATAAAGAAATCCGTGTTTTTAGACCATAAAGCATAACTCAGGTTTTGTATTGCGTGTGTGTGCGCTTACCACTCCCAGCACAGAAAAGAAGATGACAGCAGCGAGGCAGGCGTAAGCGGTGTAAGCGCTCGCATTGATGTCCGGGTGTCTCTTCTGATAGAGCTTCAGCATACACAGTCCAGCAATCATGTACATGAAGGAGGTGTCTGCAGGGAGGAGAACAACTCAAATGTACCGCATGCAACTTGAACTTTTTTCAGCCCAGGACTCAAAGTAAACAGACAGAGAGACAAAAAATAATGCATTCACAAATTTTACAGCCAGCAGAAACTCAAGAAACTGGCTGAAGCAGTAAAAATGTAACCGCACAAAGAACTGATGCAGACTAAAGCCAGGAAACCTCATCTTCCTTTGGAGTGACAGCTGCTTAAAGCCAAAACTCTCTTCAGACTACTGATCCTGACAAAGGTAAAAACAACTGTAACCATGTCGAGTCTGAGTAAGGACACAATCGTTCTTACCAAACTGGAAGTTGGTGTAGTTGGGACAGACGTGGTAGCAGGCACTGAGCAAACCCTCCATCATCAGAGCAGTTCCCATGGCATAGAAGAGGCCAAAGTGCTTTGGGATACCGCACTCCTGAAGGAGGAAGAGACAACCTGATAACTAAACTACCGCTGTCAATCATCATCATCATCTAAATCTTTAAAAACACATCTTCATGACAAATGACTACACGTTTGTCAGTGTGCGTGTGCCTCACCAGCGCGTTGACGTCATGCCGCTCCAGAGCACGATTTTGAGCGAGGTCTCTCTTGAGGACGATGAGGAGAAAGAGGAGCCCCAGCATCACGTAACCAAGGTTACTGAGGATGTTGTTGAAAGCGCTGTGTGGAATTAGTTAATCGTTACTTTACGCGGGTTAGCTGATGACGTTGGACATGTTAACACACTGTGCTCGACTGCAAACCTTAGAGCTCCGAGCGGGTGGGCACACAGGAAGTTGTAGTAGCAGATGTCCTGGTTTCCTGTAACATTGACAACCTGTGGAGAACAGAGATGCACACGTCATATTAGCGAGCTGACGGCTTATCGGAATCTTTTTTTAAAAAAAAGTGTCGCCATGCTTTATAAAATCATTGTTACCGTTTGATAGGTGATGACCAGCTGGACGACTGGCAGGGCGTAAAACACAGCAATCGTAGCAATGTTCCTGAAGAGGGTACAATTATTACTTTCAGCCACTCACAACCATCAGATCTGCAGCACTTCATTAATAATCAGTAATTTTTTTAATGTTTCATATAATGTCAAACTATGGCTTGGTTAATTCACTGTGAATTGATTTGGCTTAGACATAAAAGAATATCATGTTTCTTATCATGGGTGCAACAAGAGAACTCACCAGAAGTAGATTTGGTACTTCTTGCTGAGGATCCTCTTGTCTTTGCGGGCCAAGTCAGCCACGTACAGAAATTTCTGTAAGAGGAAGAAGAGGACTTTATTACTTTGATTACTTTATTAAAGTCTGGATGAAGAAAGCATTAACCTCGCCTAATTAATGTTCAAACTCTTTACTGCTGACAAGTTTTTTTAAATTTGTGACTCTGGTTTAGAGGTTTAATATAACGAAGGAACACATTATTAAATGGTCTCTGTGCACTTGTTTCATTTGAGCTCAGTATGAGAATATCTGCTGCCCTGCTCTTCGTTTTACACTGTGTGTGCGCGTGTGTGTGAGCTCAGAGCTGGCTTTTATGGAAGGGAATGCTGCTTGATGGCTTTGCTAAACCAGAAAGATCATGAGAAAATTTTGTCATTGGTCAGTGAGAAAAATACTTATGAGCCCCTGTAACCCAGGAAGTGGTTAAAGGAAGACGGTGATAGATTGTCTGAAGCAGTTAGAACTAGACAATGCTACTGACCGGACCTCATACCACATGCTATACCCAGGAGAAGCTACACCAAGTCTGTATGGTTTACTGAAGACACATAAACAGGAGGTAGCTCTAAGACCAATTGTCTGTATGATCAACTCGGTCACCTATAACATCTCAAAGTTTCTGGCTTCGACCCTCAACCCGCTGGTAGGCAGCTCTGAACACCACATCCAGAACAGCTTGGATTTTGTTGAGAAGGTGAGAGATGTCATTATGGAGGCAGATGAAACAAAGGTCTTGTACGATGTTACATCTGTCTTTACTGAAGCAGTGAAGGTCGTTTGTAAGAGATTACAGGATGGTTCACTACCAAGTCACTGGTTCAAGTACGTGGGTGACATCTGGGTGAAAATCAAATCTCAGTATTCAAGGTTTGACTCTCATCATCCACTGGAGCATAAATTCTGTGTCATCAGGACGCTACAACACAGCGCAAACTCCATCCCCACAGACAGCAGCCAGGGAAGCAAAAGAACATCATACCAAGAAGGCCCTGAGTAAATGTGGTTATCCCAACTGGACATTTGTCAAAGCTGGGAAGGCACCTAAAGAAAGCTCCAGCCGATCCAGGAGAGGAAAACAACTGCTGCTTAAGCGAAAACCCTTAATGATCCGTACGTGTCAAGAGTATTGGAACAGTTGAGACGCATTTACTATAAACATTGCACCTCTGTAGCTTTCAAACCCCAAAACACACTGCGCTAAAAGTTGGTCCACACCAAGGATCGGGTCTCTCGGGACAAACGGAGTAATGTAGCATACGCTGTTAAGTGCCAGGAGGATTGCCGTGATTTATACATCGGGGGGGGGAACCAAACAACCTCTGGCGAAGCAGATGGCACAACACAGGAGAGCTACCTCCTGGACTCTGCAGTCTATTCACACCTACAGGCCAGTGGACACTCTTTCAATGATGAGGACACATCCTGGACAGGGAGGAAGGCTGGTTTTGAGCGCGGAGTCAAAGAGGCCATTTACGTGAAAAAGGAAAGACCATCTCTGAATCGAGGAGGGGGCCTAAGGGTACATCTTTCACCATCTTACAATGCTGTGATTGCAGCCATTCCCCAACTCCCTGTGAATGGGACTCATGGCAACTGATCAACAGCCACTGATCATAAACCACTGATCAGTGGCTGTTGATTTGTGAATGACAAATTGCATATTAATGATCAAGAAACTGACCTCACAGCACATTGTTCATTCAGTGGGGCTGGTTTCAGTCATTGTGCATAGGTAGTGTTTATGCACAGGTTGGGGAAACCGAAGAAGTCACCTGGATGAGTGACAATACATTTCTCCCCCTGAAAACGCCAGATGATCCAGATGAACAAAACCAAGTTTTTAGGATGCTGCTCGAGTTTTAAAGACCCGGCTGGGGTTTAAACTCTCAGAGATGTAGCGAAACTTGGCAAATATTTGGCACAAATGGAAATGGTAATGTTTGTTATCAAAGAAAAAAAAAAGTTATGCCTCCAGTTTCCAGTTTGGCTCACCATCTCCACAGATGAATCCAGCAATCTGTTAGTGACCAAACAGATCAGATGGATGTTTTTGTTCTAGCACCCCGAGGTACTAGAGGTGAGGACTACTTTGCACATTCACAGATCTTTTCATTCTAAATAAGCCAGATGTGCAGAAAGCCACATCTGTGCCATTCTGAGGCAGGAAAAATAATTTTCACGTACCTTTGTGCGAACAATGTTCTTGTCGGAGTGTATGTCATCCAGTGTGTCATAGTCATCCTCCTCAATGGAGCTCAAAGACTCCTGCCTGCTCCGTGCGACACTTTCCAGCGATCGCTCTGATTGGAGGAGGGAAGAGCAAAAGAGAGTCATTCTGTCTAGTGGAGGCACAACGTGAGCAGGCAGACCGACGACTGGATTTAAGGGAATTGCAGGCTGATGCAAAAAGGTGATCCAACACATCGCACCTTTCAAAAATGATCTTCAATTTTCAAAATGATTAAATAGATGACCAGAATGATTTTTTTTTTTGGTCAGATGATCTTTGCGCTGATGAGATCACCGTCGCTGTTCATTTGAGTGCCATCAGTGGAGAGAAGTGGCCACTTTCCCGGCCTCTTAACTCCACTGATATTTGATTGACATGGTGGCTGATTGGTTTGGGGTGCTGATTCGGCTAGTTATATGGTAGCGTGTCACCGATGCGGATGGCTATGTAGTGAAGGTGATTGAGGATTGGTCGACGTTTGAAAGGCTCCTGTCCTAATGAACAAAGACACACAGAAAACCAGTGAGGGCGTGGAGCTGCTAAGAATCCATGTGCAAGCCGCTCTGCAGAGTGGGCCAAAAAAACAAGAAAGAGGGAAAAAAGGACGTGTGAGTCTCTGTTTGCTCATACCCATGTATCCATAGTTGTTGTCAGTTGAAGTGGCGCTGTCGGTAATGGCCTCTGAACTCATTGTGCTGCCGTTGTCGGCTGAGGAGGAGATGACTCTTCGTTCATTGGCAATCAAACAATGACATCACAAAGACTAAATGTTTTTTGTTTTTTTAAATACTCACCAAATGAGCCATATTCATTTGGTGAGGCTGGAGTTTTTCCTGTAAAGACACAAACTTTCAAAAATCCAAGAAAGGATACACGCTCCCAAATGCTCACATGCACAAACAAGCGGCACTACGATCAACGTTTAGTTAGTATCCTAACACTGCACAATGATCACTGTGTTAGTCAGGAAAACAGGGAGGTGAGGCGGACGTAAACACGTGAAGGAATCCAGTGAAAAAATGCAATTCCTTAAATTCTTTTCTGGCTGGGGGCAAAAAAAGTTATTAATCTCCAAAAGTGTGAAAGCTGAGAAATGAGATGCAGTGAAGAGGATTATTTCAAAACTAGTGGTTTAAAATCAAACAGTGGCAGCAACTACTGCAGTGGATAGATACAGATACACACTGGGAGGCAGCCAGCAGCCAAAAAAAGCACATCAGCAGCGAAAATATACGTGTTTCTTTAGCTCAAAACCATAAAGCTGTGAGGACTACAAAAGGATAACACTGTTACAAACACAGGCAAAAGAAGCTAACAAAGACCCATGTGAGTGCATATCTGTGTCTCTTTCTCTTCTTTGTAGGGTAAAGTATGGAAGCTACTGCATGCAGAGCATCTGCAGACAAGCAACACAGACTGAGAGAGGGCAGCGAGTGCACAAGGGGAGTAACTGTGTCTGTATACCGTCGCTGTTCTTCCCGAGCAGAGAGGCTGAATGGCAGGGGGGAGAGAAAGATACACGTTCAGTACACGCTTAAACATTCAGCTCTGAGATAAAAGAGTGGCAAACAGCTGTGGGACTGCATGATCAGTCCAGTTTAGGATCGCATTTACTCTGGTATTTAATTAACAGAACAGAACAAGCTTGCTGGTTTGTGGTCAGTGCACACTGCTCCTAATGGGCCGGTCCATCAGAGCTAGTTGCTGGGTTACCTGTCTCAGCAGGCGACATGTCGGCAGGATTCAGAAACACATTTCTCCTCTTGTTCAGTCTGCAGAAACAGAGAGGGGGAAAAATGCAAATGAACACAATTTGTATTCAGTGCAGTGTCATTCCTGCAGTGCAGATCTACTCTGACAATATGACGTCCGACCTCGTGGGTTGAAACGTGGGCTGGAGAGGGACTAATTGATGTACAGGAGGTTGGAAATTAGTTGTTGTTTTTCCAACCAAAGTGCAAAAAATTCTGTCATTTTCAGGCAGCTACAAGTTGCCGTCTGCCTGCGTCTTTTTGTTGCGGTGCAGATTTGCAAAGACGGTTGTTTTGTTGCCACCCTGGCTTTTCTATTCTGTGTTTCGGGTGAAGACTTTGGTTAAAAGTTGCATCTTCCTCACAGGGTTTTGCAGATGTGTACAACATAATTCCTGATTCCCTGCTCTGCTTTCACTTCAGTGAAATTCAACAGCCAAAAAAAATTAATGCATGACAGCTAACGGTTAAGCCATTTCTGACGTTTACTGTTCAGCTCTTTTCAATTAATCAGCTATTCCTTCTGCCCACCTGCAGCTTTTTAAAAAACTCCTGCATATGCTGTTGAGTTTTGAGGTCCGTTTGGAAGGGCACACCCTAAAGCACGTACTTTCTTCTACTCCGAAAACAAGCCAGAAAAAAAGGGAGACACAATAAAAACAGAAAAAAAGATGCAGGCCTGATATTTCCTACAGGTGTGAAATCAGTTTTTTTATATATGCATATGCTTTACTTTTTCTGGGTTTTGAGTATAACGTAATCTAGCTTCATGCAATAGTGGAAGACAAAGATGCAGAGATGGCTTTTCTAAGTGAAGAACATTCCAACACGACCGCCACAACTGGAAACTCTTTTGTACAAGTAGCAGATAAACAAAGCAAATGATGACTTTGCTGCAGAGGCAATTTCAAAACCTTACCGTGCACGCTCTAGACAGACACAGAGCAAGGTCAGGAGGTAGAATGAGAAGAAGATCCCCAAACAGAACAGCATTCCCATCACGTACACCTCCACTGCACGGGAGGACATATTAACTGTAAGCTAATTTGCATAGTATGACACAACATTCTGTATCTGCTGCCAAAAAAAAAAAACACAAATCTAAAACACAAGCAGAGAAATCTCTGCTTCTTTTAGCACATGCTAACCCTCAGCGTTTCACATATGTAGCCATGTGACTTACAGTTGATTGCGGGTGAGACCATCACATCGAGGGCCTTGCTGCGATTGCCGGCGTCAATCAGCTGATCGGGTCTCAGAGGGTAGAAGCGCAGCGGGCCGCCGCATGCCTCGTCCTCAGTTTTTACCACCACCACCACGTAGAAACTGTTGCTGGGGAAATCTTTCCTCTAGATAAAGGCAGAAACACCTACATTCAAATCTACACCAGGATTTATCGCAACCGGTTCCAATAAGCTCTGAATTTCTGCGGGACACTACCTGCACGGTGATGGCACCTTTTTTTGTCATAGTCTGGTACATCCCAATGAAGGCCACGTTGTTGTCAAGGTCGTAAATGGGGCACTGAATGGAGACAGTGAGAGAGGGAGAAAAAAAACTGAATTAGATGTGAAAAAAGAAAGATTCAGATGGATTGTTTCAGAAGTAAATAAGAAAACATTTTTGAACAGCAAGAAATCAGCTGTGGTATCCACTGTGATGCCCTCATGTGGTCCCAGAGTGCTACTGCACGCTGACCACTGAGGCTGAGGGAGGGGCCTCTTGAGGGCTGCTGCAGCACAGCTGAATGTGTGCTCTGGATAACTGTACCTGGATGTCCTGGATGGACATGACAGAACAGGGGAAAGTCATGTCCGAGTTGACCTTGACGATCACAGTATCCACCCCGTCTTGGAAGACATACTTGAAATACTGAGAGAAAAGGAGAGGGAAAGAAGAGGACAACAGTCAGCGAGGCAGTTTTCAGAAAGATCGACTTGAGGATGGCGTTTTAATTGCTGACAGCACAATAAACCATTAAACCAATACGTCACCCCATGGTCCATTTGCACAATTTAATAAGTGATATGTTACTGAGAGCCTCCCACTCCAGGTTCTCAAAAGGTTTTATCCAGTTCAGTTGTAGCCCTCGACTGCAGAGCACCTCACGCATACAAATGAGCTGACCTGATAGCTTACAAGCACAGACTGGGAGAACAAAGCAAAGCTGATGCAGAAAGCAGACTGTCTTAAAAGAGGTCAGAGACTGACAACGTCTTCATCAAGTGTCAAAAGAAAGTCATGGAATCATTTGCCACAAGCTGATCTCCGTTTTCAAATAACATACAGTCGTGTGAAAAGTAAGGTTTTCACAGGATTGGCAGTTTTGAGCATAACTCAGTGCACCCATACTGCTGCTATGGGAATGAAGAGTGTAAGGAGGAGCCAGCTGCTGATAATCAAACACACTTGATTGATCGGTCATCAGCAAGTGTGAGCACCTCTGTAAAAGCAGAAGTTTTGGCAATTTGCTGCTCCGGAGCATTCATAGGTAAGTTAACAATATGTCACCATCTCTCAGGAGTGGAAATGCCAACAAATTCACCCCAAGGTCAGACCGTGCAAAGCTTAAAGAAACTGCAAAAAACCCAACAGCGACATCTCAGACGCTACAAGCCGCAGTTAAATGTTAAAGTTCATAACAGGACAATTAGAAAAAACTCAAACTGGAACAATGTCCTTTGAACAGACGAGACTAAAGTGTAGATGCTTATCCATAACGCACAGCACCAAGCTTATCAGAACAAACATCTCAGACCAACCCTGAAGCACGGTGGTGGAGGGGTGATGGGTTGGGTTTGTTTTGCAACCACAGGACCTGGGCTCCATGCAGTCATTGAGTTGACCACAAACCCCTCTGTTTACAAAAGTATTCGTGATTCAAATGTCAGGATACCAGCGTGAGAGCTAAAGCTTGGTCCAAACTGGGTCACGCAATAGGACAACAACCCCAATCATAGCAGCAAATCTAGAACAGAATAAACAGCTAAAAAAAAAAAAGAAAAGAAACAAGGTGTTGCAATGTCCAGACCTCAACCTGACTGAAAATGTGAAGGAACCTGGAGAGAGCTCTGCATAGATCAGCAACAAACTCACTCCATGACAATACTGATAAAGTCACACAGAAAAGAATTACTTCAAGTTATTGCTGCCAAAAGCCAACTGTAAGCTACTGAATGACAAGTTTTACTTCATTCTTTTTCATAGGACTGTATAGATCAGGTGTAGGCAACCTTTCTGATGACGAGTGCCATTTAAAATTTCCTCAGAGGTCAGTGTGCCATATGATTGCATTAGCAATAAATGTAATAACGCTCTATATTAACAGTTACACAATATATAGAACCACTTTATAGAATTATATTTGTTCGCAGATGTTGGCAGCTATCAGCGAATAGTTATCAGCTATTTTAAAACAAAACAAAAAAAAGACTTTTTATCCATAACAGCAAATGAACTGTACAACAGAAAATGCAAATGCTATTTATGGTCTCCTCACAACAATGATAAGAAAAATAAACTAAGCCATTATGGCATGTCTGTTAATACAGAGACAAACATGTTGATGTGATCTCTGGTCTCCCACTCAGAGACACAGGTCTCCGAGTGTCCAGCATTCAGACGGCTGCCTGAGGACACTCATGTGAGAGAAAATCTGCTCACACAGATATGTAGAGCCAAATACTGTCAATAAGGCCTCTGCAATGTTCTAAAGTCAGTTAAACTTGTCAGGTAGTGATGTCCAGCAGGTGAATATGCAAGCTGCATGAACACGCACAGCTGTGGATTCCAGCTGCTTCGATGTTATATGTATGATTTCTATACATTTTACATCAGATAAAAACTTTGGTTGTAAGCTTCAGATAATTATTTATTAAAAGCGAGACATTTTAAATGAGAATAAGAAAGTATTTCTTTGTGCCCCCCTTTCCCTGTTAATGCCCTACCTGGCCCCCTGGCAAAACTTTGCTAGACCCGCCCCTGCACAGTTACCAGCTGTCAGCTACCTAAAAAAGGATCCTGGTGTTATTTGTCTCTCAGAAACAGTTCATAACTTCCCTTCAACTCATTCATGTCACCTAAAAGGTAAACCTGTTTCTCCATCACCTGTTCAGCTCTGATGATTCAGTAAGGACATCTCCTGGTTTCATCTTCATGTTTCCCTCTCACCAGATAACCAAACATCATGACCAGCAGCTTTATAGCTGTGGCTCCAGCAAACATCAGCTGATACTAGAAATTAATATTAAATAAATTCTAACAACAGCTGATCAAGCTTAAACGTGCTGCTGTTGTTTAGCGCGACATCCGCTGGTTTCCTCTTTCTGGCGCAAAGTGGGCGATAAACAAGAGAGAAAAGCCGATCAGCTGATCAGTTTCATGATTGAAGTAGAAACAGGAGAGGGAGGGGGAGAGAATGAGAGGAGAAGAGGCAGCTGTGCAGCAAACACAGAATAACTCCAGCTTTGTGTCTTTTTCATTGTAGCTGAAGTCCGGGACAAACTGTTCCTTTTCACCTCAATACGAAACGTGTAATATTTTCTCTGAATACGAGACGATTCAGTTTTTTACGGGACGGTTGGCAACTCTACTAACTAACCTTATGAATAAAATAAAGTTCACTATCAGTAACATCATAGCACCACCCAGCTGTATAGAAACTCCGTCATGCTAGCTAGCACGCAGTACGAGTTATTGTAACTGACTGTAAAAAGTCAGCACAACGAAAATAAACTCCACCTAAACTTGGTTTATATCTGACCCAGACAGACTGCAGGTCATAACTTCTTACCTGAAGTTCAGTTCACCTGACACTCGGACCGGCGGCCGCCTCGGGTCTCTGCTCCTCCTGCCTCCCCTTTCTCTCATCCACCTGCTGGCCTCCACCACTTGCTAATGTTACTGAATCTGAGGAAGCACCGCCACAGCCACCACCAAACAACTGAGTTATTTTTACACACCGACCAGCATCTGGCCAATCCACCACCTCTCATTGTTTATACCGTTACAAAGAGAAAAAAAAAAAGCAAATGCCCAGTATGCCCGATGGCCAGTCCAGCTATGGTCGTGCCATCAGTTAACCCAGTTGGCACGCGTGCCTAGGGTTGCCGACCCCTGGTATAGATGATTATAGATCCATACAGCCACAGACAAGGAAAAGAGGGCGAAACAAAGAGGCAAGCAACTACAACAAAATATGTTCATTTTTTTGCTTATTTGGTTGGTTTTCAGAGCTAAATCTCAGTAAAGGAAAGTTTTAATATTAATTGAGTCTGGAACCTTTAGAGAAACTGTGAGGTTTATTTGCAGTGGTTATTTTCTTCCTTTGCAGCCAACATGATGCAGGAAGCCTAAGCTGTATGCCAGAGGTAAACTACAGGCTCAGCAACATAGTTTGCTTTTTAGAAACACATGCACATACAAAATGAAAGCATTATTTAGCTTTAACATAAGTGTGTATTTGGGTTAAATAAACAACCCATGCTCCCAGTAACTGTCACATTAAGGCTTGTGAAACAGGTTGTTCTGTTTGCTGCAGTATAGACTACTCCAGTCAGACTGCATTATTATGCCTGACTAAATGGCATAATATCTGAACATCTTTGTTGTTGACTGTCTGAAGACGTTACGTGGCTCAAACTGGAAATGAGAAGGTTATGTTCTTAAAAGGTGTCCATTAACTACACATGGATGTGAGGTAAAACTGAGTTTAAAGCCCTGCAATCCACACAAATCTACACACCCCGCACATCCAAAACAAAAACCTAACACGATCCAATGAAAGTGTCATCAAAGGCCAAAAAGAAAGCAAAACTTTGTTTAAATGATTGGATGTGCAGAAAACAGAGCTTACTGAAGAAAAAGATTTTTTTAATGTAATATAACTACACAAAATCAGAAATTCCCTGCATTCATAACATCCTCTTTCACATGTATACTTTCAGCTGGCTTCCTGCACATTTCTTGTCATGAGTCCCTCCCCCACCCACAAACTCCCCCATCGGTGGTGCACATTTCTTTGACTCAACACAGTTATGTAAAGAAGGAGCCTACTGTCACACAGAGCTATGGTACCAGGCAGGTTACCTGAGGTTGGGATGGTGATGCGGTGAAGCTGAATTTCTTGTTTGTTCTGTAATCAAGTTAAACAAAACGTGTCATTCAAATAACACAGGCTGATGTACAGTGCAATGAGATGGGAATTCAGGCAGGTACCACGTACTGTGTTTGATTTATTACATAACAGATAACACTCACTGCAGGGTGAAACTTTCAACACGGCTCACTCTGAGCTGGTAGTTTGTACCCTGACTGGACAGGGTAGACACGTCCACAAAGAAGTACTGGGTCTCCGAGGCGGCCCGGGTTGGAGGTTGGCACAGTGTCCTGCCCACATCGTAGTAAGGGTACTTCCTCTGATAGCTGATGAAAAAGGAACAAAGAAAAAAAAAAGAAAAAAAGGAGGGGACAACAAAGATCAAGTTTCCCATAACCTCTCATACATTCATTCCTTCCTTCTTGTATATTCTCTAATATTATAAGAATGAAGCAAATCAGGTGGGTTTTTTTGTTTGACAGTTACACAATCTGACAAGTTGAAACATGAACGTAATTTTTCCTTTAAAAGTGGTTGAATGCAAACCTCACAATGACATTAGCTCCCCATCTCTGCACTGGTGGTTCACAAAGGAGGAAGTGAGAGTCCAAAGTTCATTAGTGAGCTGCTAAAAACGTGGCCTGACCATGAGACCAACAAAGCAATGACTGACAGCGGGGTGATTCTGGTGTTGCAAAACCTTCCAGTGCAAGACAGGAACACATCACGAATGGACTGTTGGCCAATGGCAAATAAACTCCAGAACTAGGAACCTTTTATCACGTTGCACACAATGAAGTAAGGTTACAGGAGCCGTTTGACTTTAAGACAATCCCAAGCACATTACAGGCAGTGGTTTTTGCTGTTTCCTCCGTACAAAACTTGTCAAATGACCGTCACACTTCTGAAAAGAATTACTGATTGCAGACTGAACTGCCTCGTCACCTTTCTCCACTACATCTGCTTTTACAGCTAAACCCCGTGACCTGTAGTTATATTCGTTTACTGTCCAAGTAGCCCGACACTCCTTAAAAAGAACCTTGGAACACATGTTCAAATAAAATGTGCCTACGTAGCGTTTAGGAAGAGGACATCCTTATTAGCATTTGCTTACATTTAATCCATCTGTAATCACAAACAATAATGTATGTTCACAAACCTGATAAAGCTACCAGCACCAAAACAACAACAGGTTTTTAGGGTGAATGTTGATGTTTAGGGACTAAAAAAAAATAATTAAATGTTGATATACTGGCTGTTATTGTTTATTTTTAATACTACTTTATGTTAACTTTGTTCTATTGAAAACAGAAAAACTTAGGAAGATACCTCACACTATAATAATCAAAGTTGAGGAGACAGCTTGACCTCACACCATTATCTTCACAGCTGTGATGCTACATGTGGAAAGTGCAGCCTGAGCCTGAGATGACACCGTTCTTAAATTACGCCCAAGTACCTTTTTTCAGGACATCCTGAAATATGGTTATATCTGTGATAGGTCACTACATTAGTGAGGCCCAAGAAAAGCAATGCTGCGATGAGAAGCCGGGAAACATCTTGTATAATTATGTCATATTTAACTACACGCCCTAATGTAAGAAGTCCCAAATGATGTGCCGAGCCCTACTAATGCACCTCTAGGCAAGCCCAAATTTGAAATGTGATATTTTCTTTGGCAGCCCCACATCACTGCTGCAGTGTAAAAATGGCACAAAGAATTGTAACTGAATATATTCGAGCTCTAAGGGCTCTCATTTTCCAAACAGGGGCATTTTCTGAAAACCTCTGTCAAGTCTGCTCACATAGCTGATGGATGGTTGGCAGTTTGGAGCTTTACATAACAAAAGCCCTGAATGTCTGCAAAGAGGATAAGACATGCTGTGTACTTAAAGAAAGGAAAGTGAAAAAAAAAAGAACTGTTAGTTGCATCTATCATGAAAGCTCCTGGGGTTACGGCTTCAACTGGACTAGGGCTGTCAACATGAACCTGCTGGGAAATGTTTGCCAATGAAAACCTGGTGCCACAAGCTAAATACACTCATTTTATCTCATCTGGGGAAAAACACTGATTTAAGAAGATTTGGATGAAGGTTTTGGATAAGGTGAAGTAACTAAAGTAGACATTATTAAGAAAAAAGAAAATGGAACGTTTGCTGGGTCCAGAAAAAACACAGAAAAGCTGGCATGTCATACCACACATATTCTGTTTTGTATCTCATCTTTCCTCTATGTCACTTGCACATAAATGAATAGGACTTAAAAATTGCCATGGGCACAGTAAGTTTAACTACTGCTGGCTTTACTGTAGACTAGACAATTGACTCCACACCTCACTAAGCATAATGCATACTGGTGTTTCAATTTCAATTTCAACTCTGTAACACATAGATCTTTTAAAATGCTTTGACGCTAACTTAGAGGATTTAAGATAACAGTGAGTGGCCATCTCTGGTTACATACAAAGAAGGGAAGCTTAATATACAATTAGACAAAAACGTGAAGTTAAAGGAGTTAAGGGATGGACCAAATTACAGACCACATCAGTTTTTATTTTAAATTACTTGATTTTTGTAAGAAAAAAACATTAACATATATACATCACATACATGTGATGTATATATGTTATGTATGTAAACGGTGGGGGGTACTCACAGGCCTCTGAGAATGAGGGGGACTTGAAAAGACAGGACGCCTTGCTTCTGTCGCACTACAAACAAGATTGGGCTCTCCGACTTGTTGGATAACACGTCCACAGACACACGCACTCCCTCAGTCTGAAAGTCAAGAGAGGGAAAAGGAGAAAGGACTGATAATAATCTTTAAGTGGTGAAAAAACGAACCGACAAGTCTGAGGAGGCGAACTCACCTTATTCCGAGAGATGGTGTGATTAAACGCGTAAATGGTCTGGTTTTCACTCGTAACCGTGTCATTATAGTTGGCATCAAACTCCGCATTTTTCTGGACGATTTTGATCTCCCCCACCTCAATGCCGCAAGCTAACCGAATCGCACATAACCAGAGCAGGGCAGCCAATCCTGGTCGGATCCAACGGGGAGCAGGTCCACAGCTGTTTTTATGTCGTGATTTCCAGGAGCTTCTTAACACCATTTTGCCTGACACCGTCTTCCTACAACTGGGAAACGATATCTTAAGTTACTCTAGGGTGGAGAGACAACGCTATAAAAAAACTCCACCCCATTCAGCAACAATAACAAGGACAGCAGGCAGGCTAGCTCAACTATGCCCCTTCAGACAATAACAGCAGGTGCTAAATGAAAGCTAGTGACACAGTGAAGTGTTTACATTTGCTATAAACTTGCGCGTCGTCCTGTCGGCATCCGTAACGAAGTAGACGCTGTCAGTCATGCGCCCAGTGCCAAGTTTCAACACAACAAAACCAGCGACACTCAATTCTTCTATATGAAACCCTGAAATCTGACAGCTCGCTGACTCGCCGTGTTAGCATTAGCACCGCTGGTTAGGCAGCTTCATGGTTTTCATGTCGGACTTCGGTTCTGTCGTCAAAAACAAAAGCCTTCCTGTAAAACTGCGAACGGCTGTCACTATCGGGTTTTGTAGGACCGCTGCATTGTGCAAGAAATTTTGGTCCAGCGGGGGGAAGAGATTCAGTGTGAAAATCTGTGCCGTTAGCGCCCACCCTCCCTGCACGCTTAGACAGTAAACAAACCGACGCACGACGTAATGACGACACTTCCTGGACTCTCAGCAGTCAAATATCTGGGTCTGCATGTTTGCTGTATGTGGGGTTGGCCTTATGTGTGAGTTTCCTATATAGTGACTTGAAACCAGGCATAACGACAACAACAACGATAATAATAATAATACAAAACTGGTAAAGTTTTAACCAGGTCAGTTTGAAAGAAGCTGGAATACATCAGGAAAATACTAAATCACGAGGTATGAACTACACTCCCTTATTTTTTCATGTAATATGTTTTTATTACAGCTAATCTTGATGAAGAGGACATTTCAAGGTATTTCAGTGGTTAGTGTCCCAAGGACTTGGATCTATTTTATGTATATACCAAAGCAAAAATGTGTTACCATGTATGCATATGTTGGATCATAGGATCCTCACGCAAACCAAGCTGTTGGATTCAAATTTTACTCCTTTCCTTGACTTCCATTGTCTTCTGCAGCCAGCAGTCTGTCTAAATAACAGAATGCACACCAAAAAAAACTGTTGTGTGTAGGCGAAGATGAATAGAACCAGCACATATAAAACTTTTAGTCACACATTATTTTGCTGATAAATTACATTATTGTTGATCAATCAATATATAAGGAATTAGAATCACCATGAACTGCTAGATATACACGTCAACAAATGAATAATTATAATACATTATTATCCAAAAACAACAACAGTACTAATAAAAGTAAGAATACCATCATGTTACATGATCATTCTGAAACATGTCATTGCACATTAGGACATTTACGTTTGGAGCTATAAATATAGTTGAAAATGCGGCCTGTGCACTGTTAAGCTACTTAAGTAGCTTTTAGTTATAGTTTAAGTAAAACTACAAAATACTGTACCCCAGGCACTTATACAACTCATGGTCATTGGTGCACTGGAGGATAGGAGAAGAAGTGGGGTAGACAGGTCGCCAGTCTATCACAGGGCTGACACAAAAAAGCAATCATTCACACCTCATTTACGCCTACGGTCAATTTAAAATCAACACTTGGGGAGGAGGGGAGGAAGCTGGGCATTGTGACTGCACACAGAAATGCCCCAGCCAGTCAGCGGCTGTGAACTCAGGATAGTGCTAACAACTGCACCACCACACCACCCACATATTCATTAATTCACTCCTCAAGAAACCAGCAAGTGCTCTTTTTGTTACCCAGAGCACTCCCTGGCGCCTTTAACATGCGCCACTTCCTACATTAAAATACAAGTCAGTTGCACATTACAAAACTTTCCTTTAGAAATGAATTACACACGATCATTTAGAAATGCACATGACGAAACTTATTTACAATGAGTTATCTAATTCCAAACAACAAGTCTGCTTTCTCTCTGCGGTCTGGGAGCCACAGGGCGCCTTCCTGTTTTGGACCAGCCTGGATGCAGGAACTCTTTTCCACCATGAAGGGGTGCTGTCTACAGTCTGGTGAGAGAGCCTATGGACCAGAGAATAAAATTAACTGCATCGAGCTTTGAAATGTTTCCTTTCGTTTTACTTAGATTATCCTTATGTTAAATTAGCTCTATGAGTGGATTCAGGTAATGCATCTTTCTATAAATGGTGTGAGTGACCCCGCTTATTTATCTTTTTATTCTTTCGCATACATACATTTAGTTTTGCATAATTATTATTATGTCACTGTGCAGGTATCACTGCACGCTTGTGGTGGGGACACAGTGATTATGTTTTCGTATGAGTGCAGGCCAGTCACCACGGAAGTACAGCTAATCGCTGATTTAATGATTCTGTGTTCATTAAGAGATCTTATCAAAGCCTCCTCAGAAGGTCAGGGCCATTTATCAGCATTATAAAGACACCTACATCTCTTGGGGAAGTTAAAGGTTTGCTTGTTTTTTTTGTTTTTTAAGTACACGTTTTTAGTAATTTATCGAAGACAAAAACAAAAAACCCAGCCAAAATAGCTAATACAGTGCCTGTGGACGACCGCCATAATGGCTGTAATTTTTCTATTTGGGATCTCTTCATGGCATTCAGCTGTTAGAAACTGTAGTCATATTTTTGTGAAACATACTCATATCAGATGTATATTTGTATTGCAGTGGAATAACAAAGCGACCGTTGTTCTCGTCCGCCATTGTAAGGGTAAAGCGGCGTACACCTTTAAACACTTTAAAAACCGTCTGCTCATACAGAACGCAGCACTTTGCAAGGAATCACTGAATCATGGGAACCGGAGTGATAATGCGCACTTCTTTGTCACCAGGGCAACCACAATACGTTTCTCTGGATGAAGTCATTTGTTACGCCGCTCGTTACTATGGTTACAACCTAGAGAGGGCGCTGCGGAAGAGCTTTCTACGTAAAATGACGCAGGGCGGGGGCGTGCCCGCGCTGCGCGCTGCGCACGGCTGCTTGTTGTTCCCGCAGAGAGGCGAGAAGATGGCGGCCGTGTCAAGCGGAGGTGCTGCTGGGTCCGCAGCGGCCGGGATTACGCACTCTGCCCGACCGACCCACGCAGGCATGGGCTCCCAGAACCGAGCCCAGCCATCCTCCGGGATCAGCCACTCCGGTCGTACCAGCACAGCCACTGGGTGCATCACAAATCCTGGCCACACTTCGGTCCCCAGGCCACCCCCAGCCCGAGTGGGCCACTACGAAATCGAGCGGACCATCGGGAAGGGAAATTTCGCGGTTGTTAAACTGGCCACACACATCATTACTAAAGCAAAGGTAAGACAATTGATGTACGAGTATCAGAGGTGAACAATTATAAGTTGTCATTGATTTATTCTGAGCCTTTTCGGCTGCTTTAGTAGAATGACGGTGGGGCCTTCAGGCTCGGGAGACAGCAGCGGCCAGCCCGCTATGGTGACACCGCTGCTCGGTGTAGCGGAGGTCCGCTCGACACGGGACACCACCGTTAGCTACTGGATCCAGATTTATTTATCACAACGTAAATAATAGCTCGCATCTATCCACTTGTAGTGCTTTTTCTGAAAGCTTAAAAGGCCCGAGGTTAATGTGTAGCAAAGCGCAAAGGACAGAGAGAAGGGTATCGACGAAGATAAAAAAGACGAGAGTCGATTTTCTAGTAGCTAGCTTAGCTTGATGGCTAATTACCCGGTTAGTACAACTTAGATACCTCTGAGAAAGATGCCAGTCCGTCAAGGATGAAAGAAAAGTTTGGGCAATTGTTTTTGTTAAGTTAACCGTGAACTTCCAAACTTGATAGGTTTGTGTTTGGCCCAAGATTTAATATCCCTCTTAGGAATTCCCCAATAAAGTACCATCGAAACTTTGTCACACTATATTATAGGAAAGCTAAAGACTGTGGGCTTTAAAATAAACTTAACTGTTTAAAGAATTGGGTGAACAAGCTACTTAACATGTACCGTTTCGCGTAAAGATACGTTCGTACACCTTAACCAGTTTGTTGGAACATTTTCAGCTGTACATATCAGATTTTGTAGTACTAGATATCAGGTTTAATAGCTAGATGACAGCGCGTTGAGTCCTCGTGGATAGGAAAATATTGACATTGGCCAAAAAAATGAAAGTGTTTTCAGAATGGTCACCATACAGTTTTAAGTGGAACATAAACGCGTTTGCATGGTGTGGGCGACAGTTTGAAATATACTGAACGATTGGCATAGTTAATGGCAGATGCTACTGTCAGAAAATTAATGAAACACAAAATCATCCTTCATGAGTAGATGCCTTTCAGCCTTACACTGAAGTTGGCCGCAACTCAGTGCTTTAAAAAAATCTTATTGTTTGCGACACGTTTGGGGGCATTACAAAGAAAAGGCAGCACTCACAAATTCTGAGTATTGTTTTGAAGTTTTGCTGACCTATCGCGTGCGGTGCCTGAGTTTTTGTAAGGCTTTATTTGTCTTTGAGCAGTCTGTTGCCACTGGGTTATCAGCTGTGTTGGTAATGTAACCTTAAAAAGTGCCAAACAAATCAGAAGGCCTTTGCTGGCATATTTGACAACAGATGCGTCATTGAGGTCTCTTCTAATACTAACTGTGATTTGCAGCAGATTAGTATAGGAGCGTTAAAAATCCTTCCTTAGGCTATCGGGAGTATTGGGATCAGTAGTGATCGATGTGCAGGTGAACACTCAGGGCTTCGATTACTGAAAGCGGTGCCTGCAATATATGATGAAGAGCCTTTTATTGAGATGATATAAATAGAGGTATGTCAAAGCTGCCAAGTGTGTAGCTTTACCTTGGTGTTTTTGTTGACATACACACAGACGAGTAGACACGGGGCATTTGGATGCTTTGCGTCACATAGAGACTGAACCCTCCATTTAGTTTCATGACAAAATACACAAGGGTCGGTGAGCCGTGGAGATGTTTTTAATCCTGGGGATGCTGCTCGAAAGACTACCTGTGTGTGTGTGTTTGACTATGATATGTAGAGGCCAGAATTTATGGGAGATGTTGTTAGTTTCCTCCAATAACAATACAATGTCTATTGTTTTCACTTGTATTGATGTGTGTCTGTCTGAGCCTGAGAGATGACAATCACTGAGAGAATGAAATAAGCCCTGTTTTCTGTCTGTTGATGGTTGGTCGCAGTAACCTCATAATTTCCACCAACAATCGCAGGGGTTTCAGCGTCCCCACTTGGCTTACGGATATCAGAAGAGTAGCAGCGTGCTTTAACGTGCCCGTAGTTATCATGAATATGGATATGGTAATCAGCCATCAGATGAAATGCGCACGGGTAGCTTTGTTTCATGGCCCAGGTTCTATAACGATCTGAAGAGAAATGCTGACTAGTCATAAACAGCCTAACAACTCCCCCCGTTCTCAGATGGAGCTGCGTGATATCCTGCAGTGCAGTCACACAGAAGAGGACCTGGATATTTATACTCTGTGGCTCACAAGCACAGAAAGGGATGGTCCCTTTTCGAAGCCTCATTTCCCCCTCTGATGTTTTATAAAATCTGAGCAATTTGATGGGCAATTAGTTCAGAGTTTAATTTCCCAATAGCACTTCAACTTGGGTTT